CGAACAGCGGCGCCATCTTAAACTGGCGCAGGAGGTCTCCCAGCGGCATCTGGACAACGCGCCCTGCCTCCTACGAGCACCTGGCGGTGCCGCCCAGCATGGCGCGGCACTTCTGCGCCGCCTACAAGTCAACTGGCTGCAGCGGCCCTCGAGGCCCGGCAAGGACTTCGGCGCCGCCGAGCGCCGCGTTGACTTGGGGGGCTTTGACGAGGTTCATGTTGAATATCAGTGGTGCTGGGCTGTGCCAAAATTTCCCAAGACTCAAAAAAAAGGCGCCTTGAGCGCAAAATGCCCCATGGCCAAACACTGAGGTGAACGCGGGAGCCTGAAGCCCCCCCCAGGTACACGACGCGATGTTTCGCGGCCCCTCGAACTGCGACCCCCCGAGCACGCGTCGCCCGAGACGCCCGATGAGAACCCGTGCCCCTGAGGTAGCACGCGCTTTGATGTTTGCTGATGTTTTGCGAAGCTTCTTCTTCTCTCTCCATGCCACTTGTTGCCGCCTCATTCTCCGCCTCGCCCCCCCTCCGCAGCTGCCCCGCCATCGCCCCCCCCCCCCCCCCCCTTCTCTCCAGTGCCTTGGACGCAATGTCGTCTGCAAACCCCGTAGCGCACCCTTGCCCAAGATGTTCTCGTCCCACGGCGTCGCAACCTCCGCTGGTACATGCTGCGCGCATTCCACGGCCCGGTTACATATCCAAGAAACAACGATTCGCTAAAAGGTGCACGCGAAAAGAAGTGCAGCTCTTTGATCTCCCGGAAACGACCCCCCCCTGGGCGTAAACATTGTGAGCCCTGGTCATCCCGAATCGGAAAAAACCCGGCGGCGCGGTCCCGATTAAACTCCGAATCGCGCCTGTCGTCGTCTACGATACATAGATATACATACATACATACAGACATACATACATAGATATATAGTGTGGGCTACCTGCAGCGTGCTATCATGGCGAAGTGCGAAAAACGCGTTCGCCGCGCCCTGGCACCGCAACGCGTGGCCGATGCCCGCGCGATACATGCGACGCGACAAGCTCAACTGGACCCCCATCGCGTTCTCCCCCCCTCCTGCCCTGCAACCCTCCATATATCCAGTCAGGCGGCCCCCACTTCGGACAGCGGCGACGAATGGCCGCGCCGTTCACGCACCTACCCAGAGCACGCATGACCGTTACCACTCTCTGCCCTGCACAATCGAGCTTGTCTTTGCCCTCGGGAATTCGCGCTGCCAGCGCCGCGCGCAACGTCGCTGGAGTCCGTCTTAATCTGCGACATTCTATCAACAACCGACCTAGATAGGACAACGCTCGCGCGGGCTCGTCGTGCGCCGGCGACCCATGCCCAGTCCCCCCCTGCACCTGGCGCCTACGCGGGTTCGTCCAACTCGGAGAGCAAATGCTGCGAAGTCCCCTTACTGGAACACTCCATTCAGGCCACGCCCGCCGGACTCAAGGTGTCTTTCATATTGCTCTAGCCCTCTGCGGCGATGTACGTGGCCTCTGTGAACTCCCGCTTGGTCCTCGCCTCATTCTGCACCTCTGTGGCAATCTCATCTGGCGCGCCCGCTCTGGCTGAGCATCCTCCCTGCGCCGCTGGCTTCGTCATCTGTTCAACCCACTGTCGAGCTGTTGCCGATGATCCTGGAACTGCTGCATTTCTTCGCTGCCCACGACGTTTGCCTGCGATCAACCTGCCGAGCCCATGAGCTGCGTAGCCATCACGCCCGCGCAGAGCATCTCAAAGTTCATCGCGCCTTCTCTCATTGAAGTTATGCCAATACTGCTTGGCGGCCTGCTTGGGCTTGCGACTCAACCCGCTAATCTGTTCACATGACACCTGCACTTGCCTCTCATCAGTTGTAGTGCTGCGTGTCTCACGAAGGTCTCGTCGCAGCCGTAGTAGCCTGCGCAAATCTCTAGCATTGGCCTCCCGCTCAGCTGTGCGCTGAGCACTCGTTGGAAAGACTTCGAGCATCGCATTGTTGATGACGGCGACGAAGCGTCGATTCGCACCGTCTACCCTCATTTTGAATACATGCTTCAACCGAATCCAGAATCAGTTCCGCCTCCATTTACATGGCAGCGAAAATATATTGACGTTTGTATCCTGCTTGTGCACATCTGTACATGCTCTCGCGGTCAGGCCAGGGTGCCCAGTCAATGTTTGATGGTCCAGGTCGATCCCACATTACCCTGGCGACGTACCCAAACCCTGTGCAATGCGGGGCACGAGTAGCCTGGGACACGTTATACAGAGGTGATGACGTGACATGGGCGCCTATACTTCTGTGAGCGGTATTTGCGAAGCTCGCAGCCCCCCAGGGACGGCGAGGTCCCGCTCAGATCTGCGCGTTGCCTCACTCCGCTGGACCCGCCAGCAGCCTTCGAAAGTGGCCACAGTTTCGCAGATCGCAGCCCCCCAGGGACGGCGAAGTACCGCTCAGATCAGAACCTTGCCTCACTCCGCTGGACCCACCAGCAGCCCTCAAAAGTGGCCACAGTTTCGCAAATCGCAGCCCTCCCCCCCAGGGACGGCGAGGTCTTGCTCAGATCCAGGCGGTGTTTCGCTCCGCCGGGCCCACCAGCAGCCCTCGAAACTGGCGACAGGGACCGCGAGGTCTCGCTCAGAGCCGCGCGGTGCCTCACCCCGCTGGGCCCACCAGCAGCCCTCGATAGTGGCGTCAGTTTCGCAGATCGCAATCTCTCCCCCCAGGGACGGCGCACGGTGCCTCACTCCGCTGGACCCACCAGCAACTGTCGAAAGTGGCGACGATTTCGCAAATCGCAGCCCCCCACGGACGGCGAGGTGTCGCTCAGATCTGCGCGGTGCCTCACCCTGCTGGGCCCACCAGCAGCCCTCGAAAGTGGCGACAATTTCGCAGATCGCAGCCCCCCACGGACGGCGAGGTCTCGCTCAAATCTGCGCGGTGCCTCGCTCCGTTGGACCCACCAGCAGCCTTCGAAAGTGGTGACAGTTTAACAGATCGCAGCCCCCCCCCCCCAGGGACGGCGAGATTTCGCGGGAGACAGGAGGCGGGAGGAAAAGGAGGGACGCGACCACAGTGCTCTATTCAAAACGAGCACCCCACCGAGGAGGTGTGGGACAAAATCTTAGCTGCGTTGGGCGATGGTCTCTGGGCGCGACCGCGTTGTGCAGCTGAAGTTTGCGCCATGACCGGGCTAGCACATGACATCGTTCAACTGCGCACACTGCCTGCTCTGGCATAGTAGCATGATCAATAGAAGGTTTCGCCAGATTCGCCAATGTAGCTGCCTCGATTCTCAAATTAGGTACTCGCACAATAAAGTCGCCGTCCCTGAAACAAGGGCCGAAAGATTGTCGTAGCAGGGGGCACTGTTCCTCTCCCACATTCACCTGCCACGCGATCCACCCCGTTCAACAGTAGCCCCCCACTCAAGCCCGTGAATGGTGTTGGCGTGGCCCTCTTTGCTGTAAAGAACTGCAGAGTCTCACGCAACCAGCCACACGATGATGTCAATGTCAGGTCATATGTCGCTTTCTCGCTTGCGCCTCTCTGGCGGGGCTGTACATATAGTGCATCAAATCCAAGCGGGTGGCTTCCATTCGCAAACAACACCGCTGCAGCTCCCCCCACAACGTGCGAGGTACAGGAAGCATCCAACGCAGCTGAAACTAACTGAAAGGCTCTGGCGGAAGAGAAACGTTACACCACATGGCACATTCACAAACCTGCTCGTTTTGTACCCGTGCTCCAGGTTCCAATACTCATCTACTGTCTCGCTCTCCTCCCACTGTTGCCCTGTGCTCCTCTTCTGTGTGCCAATAAATGCAAATCCATCTCGATGGGGCATCTCCTGAACAATATCCGTCATCCGAGAAATAAGAGTTACATGCGCACGGATTGTAGCCCACTGCTCGAAGTAGGCGGCTCATGCGTGTGGCCGAAGAGATTCCCGTGTGAAGGCGTTCCCGCCTCCGCTCAGCGACCCCCCTTCCCATTACAGCCCCGCGCGCGCTTCGGGTGTCCGAAATCTCTTGGCTGGCATGTCAGCACCCCTGCGCGACTCGAGCACACCAGCTCTCCTCCTCGTTCCTCCTCATCCTCCCTGCTGACTCCTTCCCGCCCTCCCTCCGCGTCCTCCTCCTCCTCCTCGCTTCCCGTCTTCCTCACCCTTTCCCTCCACATCCCTCCTCCTCCTCCTCATCATCATCCTCCTCCTCCTCCTCCTCATCCTCCTCCTCCTCCTCTGGGTCCACAAAGACAGACATATTAGTACGATACGTCCTCCTTGGATGCGCGCGTCCGACCCGAAGCTTAGTATACTCATCTTGTAGCACATCGTTTCCCGAGCGGCATGGCCAGGAAGCGCCCGCCACGGAGCATATACTGGTGCGCGCGTCGCCCCTGGAGGGGCGACGCATACGTAGTATCAGTATGTTGAGGTAACGCCGATCCCCCTCCTCGTCCTGTCACCCCCGATCCCCCATCCCCACCATTCCCCCTACTCAAACCATCCCACGGTTCAAGCCCCCTTTGGCCCTCAGTGCTCAGGCCACCAGTGGGGAGCGCATCCCTGGGAGTTAAAACGCCCCCCCGCCCCCCTCCTTCCTCCTCCTTCATCAGCCCTCCTCCCTCTCGTGAGCGTTTTCTTATTCGGCGTTTCGACGTTGGGCCCAAGAAGGGGCAGAGGGGGGGGGTCTGGCTCCAGACCTCTGCTCCGCGCGACTGTTTGCAGCTGTGCGGCCGATGGGGGAGGGGACCCACCTGCCTGAAACAGGCGCCAGAAACAGCCAAGATCTACTCCATGAGGGGGGGGGAGGGGGAGGGGGCGAGGGCCCGCGCCGATCCTACAAAACGATGAATCAAAAAAACACTACAACGTTCACCTCTCCCTTCCTTCCTTCCGCACCGCCTGACGCCGCCCATCCGACCGGGCCGCCCGGCGCGGGCGGGCACGTGTGCGACCCTCGCCGCGGCCAGAGGCCTGCCGGCTGGCGCTCGACGCCTCCGGGGGGCGCGCCTGCGTCGTGCCAGGGCGAGGCTGTGGACCACCCCGCTCTCCAAGAAGGCCTGCAGCGGGAGGGAGGCCCGCTGGGGAGTGGAGGGTCGTCCTCCTTCCCCCCGCTGCTGCTCTTGCGCCCGTCCTCGTCCTCCTCCCCGCGTGCTCCTCGTGTCCTCTCCCTGCCGTGCAGATCCGTCCTCAGTCCTGCCTCTCCTCATCCGTCCAGCCCCCTTCACCTCCTCTGTCCTTCTCCTCCTCCTCCTCCTCCTCCTCCTCCTCCTCCTCCGCCTCCTCCTCCTCCTCCTCCTCCTCCCCCTCATCACCACCATCAGCATCATCACCAGCAGCATCAGCATCAGCATCAGCATCAGCATCATTCGCAGCATCATCAGCAGCATCACCATCATAACCACCAACAGCATCATCATCATCATCATCATCATCATCAGCAGCAGCAGCAGCATCACAATCATCAGCATCAGCATCATCATCATCATCATCATCATCATCATCATCATCATCATCATCATCATCATCATCCTAACAATCCCAATGATACGATCATTGATAAAAAACAACTGATTGAACATAACAATATGTTAATGGCATTGGCAATAATGAAAGTATATTAAAGTTAGTGTACGAATCAGCATCGTCATCATCATCATCAGTATCATCATAAGCATCATCATCATCAGCATCAGCATCAGCAGCATTATCATCAGCAGCATCATCACCACCATCATCATCACTTTTCCCCTAAGATACCCTACTCCAACTCTACTAGACTCTACTCGACTCTGCTCTACCGTATTCGATTCCTGCTCTACTCTACCCGTCTACTCTTCCCGACTCGATTCGGCTTGCCCTGCCCGACTCTACCCTACTCTACCTTACCTGACCGTACCTAAAATATACTCGACTCTAGGCCACCTTGCCCTTACTCTACTGTACTATACTTACTCTACTCCTCCTCTGCTCTACTCTACTCTACTCTGCTCTGCTCTGCTCTACTTTACTCTACTCTACTCTACTCTGCCCTACTTACTCTGCTATGTTATACCCTGCCGTCCCTAACATACTCTATTCTACCCTACTATACTCTACTCTACTCCACTTGGCTCCTACTCGACTCCACTCTGCCATACTCTACTGTACTCCTACTCTCTTCTGCTCGACTCAGCTCTGTTCTACTCTACTCTGCTTCTGCTTCTGCTCTGCCCTGCTCTGCTCATCTGCTCTGGCGCTGGCCTCGTCGAGAAAGACACCACACGCCCGACACATGCCAAGAAATAGCATCACATCAAATGTCAGAATCCACTTTGGACGCCGAAATGGGTACGGAACAAATGGGCACAATGTCCAACAACAAAGGTTGTCCCCAGCCAACAGAGGCCGCTGTTTGGCAGGCGGCCCTCTGTCTCACATGGACACAGACCGCGGCGGCGCGGACGGCGAGTCCTGTTCAAAATGAGCATGAACTACTGTTGGGCATCGTACCCATTCTGTCCGTACCCGTCGTTCATTTCTAATCCTGCTCGTTTCTAAGTGTGCTTGTTTCTAAGGGCCGGGGATAGCACAATCAGAAATGAAGGGATCTTGGCCCCCAAGCAATCAGTGAACTTTCGAATACTTAGAAATGAACAATGTGCACACCACCAGCAGCCCTGGCCAGGCCCATCCTGGGTCCTGGACTGGTGTACATGCCCTCCTGGCCTTGGCCTGGAGGCTTCTGTGCCAGTCGATGCGCCCGGGGTGCACCCGGCGAGGGCCGGTGGTGGTGGTGTATGTGTGGCGTCCCTCCGAGTCCTCTCGGGGGCGTCCCAGAAGGGGGCGCCCACTGACCAAGAGAGGAGCTCGCAGAGCATTCGCTCGTGCCGATCCACCCCCTTCGGGTAGGCCGCCCGGGCCTCCTGGACCCACGGCTCCGGGGGCAGCGAGGGCAGCACCTGCGCGGCCTTCAGCGCCAGGGCGTCCTGCTGCGGCCCCGCCGCCCCCAGGAGCTGGGCGACCACCCTGCCCAGCAGCTCCTGCAGGGCGCCGCTGCCACTGCGTCGTCGTCCTCCTCCACCCCCCTCCCTTCACTCCTTCTGCTCACGCTCTCCCTCTTTACTCTCTCTCACTCTCTCTCTTTCTCTCTTCGTCTGCCCCTCCGTGCCTGCCTCCACCCTGCCCCCTGCCCCCTCTTCTCTCCTGCTCCTCCTTCAGCTCCTCCTCCCCTCCCTCCCCCTCCCCCTCCTCCTCCTTCGCCTCCTTTTCCTCCTCCTCCTCCTCCTGCTCCTCCTCCTCCTCCGCCTCCTCCTCCTCCGCCTCCGCCTCGGCCTCCGCCTCGGCCTCCGCCTCCGCCTCCGCCGCCTCCTCCTCCTCCTCCTCCTCCTCCTCCTCCTCCTCCTCCTCCTCCTCCTCCCCTCGCCGTCCTCATCATCATCCCTTGCTCCGTCCGATGCTGCTCTTGCTCCGCTGTGCCTCTCGCCCCGGGATCCCTCTTGTGCCCTCCGAGGCTCCAGTCTCTACCCTCCGAGAGTTGCCCAGACCCTTTTCGTCCCTTCCGTCCTCCTCCTCTTCCTCCTGCTGCCAGCCTGCCTGCCTGCCTCACTGCCTCACTGCCGCAGCGCCACGGAGACGTCCTCGGCCCGTGGCGGGAGCAAGACATCGCCCCAGGGGGGGGCCGCCGCGCGCGACGAGGGTCTCACCGGGAGCCACCCGCAGGACGCTTCCGTTTTGGGAAGTGGTCCAGAACAGGTGACTCCGCACTAAAGAAAAATATGTGTCGGAGTTCTTGGAATGGGTACAGTAGGAATGGAGACGAAGACTGACAGCAGCCCCTGTCCATTATCAGGAGGTCTCGCTGTCGGTGTTGTCGCAGATGTGGTCCGTCTGAGACACGTTCAAGGTAGGGGAAAATGGGAAGAAGCAGTGTAACCTTTCTGCATCCTGAGGTTCGATGGGTATCGTTTCACTGGTCCCCATCCCCAGCGGCGTGGCCGGGGCGGGGCCCCACTGGCCGATCTGCCCCCCTGGGTGGGGAGACAGGCCGTGCCCTTCGGGCCTCGAGGGGCGCATCCCCGACTGGAGGGCGCGATTTGGTGGGGGTCTCGAACGGGATGGGAATGGGGATGGGGGTCGGTTGAGCGATGCGGATTCAAGGAAGACGGGTTCTGGGGCAGCATGGACGGGCCCGCGAAGCACGTGCGGTGCACCCTGCTGAGGTCATGCCCCCGCTGATCGGCTCGACCGTCGGACCTCTGAGCTCCGCGCGCGCCCGCCCACCCGGCCGCGCCCGCCCACCCGGCCGCACCCGGCGGGAGCGTGCGCAACTTCGCTCCGAAGGTGTCCAACTGCTTTGAATCTGGACGCCCGAAATGGGTACGGAAAGAATGGGCAAGATGCCCAACAACAGATGCTGTCCCAAACCAACAGCGGCCGCTGTTGGGCAGGCGGCCTTCTGTCTCAAGCGGACACAGGCCGCGGCGGCGCGGACGGCGAGTCCTGTCCAAAATGAGCAGGGACTGCTGTTGGGCATGGTACCCATTCTTTCAGTACCCATTTCGTGCGCGCAGATTGAAGGCAATTGCCTGCTGTCCCCCCCCGCCCTCTCCTCGCCCGGGTCTTCACGGTCGTCGCGCTCGTCATCGTCGGCGCTGGCGTGCGCCGACAAGGCCCTACTGGCTGAAGGGCGCCCCGCGTCCGTCGCCAAGGCGCGCACCCGTGGTCTGTCGTCTCGAGCTCGATGCACCGCTTCAGTTCGACGAGCGGGAGTCAACAGGGCTGAACCTAAATGGTGCTCTTCGTTTTCGTTCTGCTTTCGTGCTCCCTCGTTTTGCCCTCAGCCCGCCGGCACCGCAAAACGGAGTCGAACCGAAAACGGAGTCGAACCGAAAACGGCCCACCGTCTAGGTCCAGCCTCGGGGATCTTCTGACCCGGGTCAATCCAGACCCGGGTCAGCGGGAAACCACAAACTGCAATGCAGGAAAAAAAACTGCAACGCAAGTCTGCGCAAACCCGGGTCAGCCAATACGCGCGGCCGCCTCGCGGCCACGCGCGGCTCCCTAACCCGGGTCAGCCAGAGAGGGTCTTCGCAGGATCCTGCAGGATCTGGCGCTCTGGCTGACCCCCGTTTGCACTGACCCCCGTCTCTTAGGCCCCGACAGCCCTGGGAGTCAGCGTCGCCGGGGCCCGCCTGCTGAGCGGTGCTCTTCTCGATGTGGACAAGGGCTCCGCCAAGCATGAGCAAACGGTGGCGGCCATCGGCGCGAGCGTAGAGGGCCCCGCCGCCGCCCCCGTCGGATGATGAGCGCCTCGGAGCAGTCAACTGCCACCTGTCCAGTGCGTAGCTTCACCCAGGCGCGATCCCCCAGTAACCTGGAGCTGCATGTGCAACATGGGCCGCAATTAGTGCGTGAGCCGCAGATGTCGTGCGATCATCAGTGGCCACGCGCACTGCGCGTGGCGCACGCGGTGCACATTGGGCGCGCCCGGGCGGGGGGGCCGCGCAAACCGCACGGGCCGCTGGAGTCGCATGGGCCGCGTGAGATGCTCGAGCCGCATGGGCCAACTGGGCTGCGCAGGCCGCAGGACACGCAGGATGCGCAGAGGCCATGGGTCCAGAGCGGAACAGACTGAAGGGCGGGGGCTTCACACAGGTCCACAGCGTGCGTCGGGCGCGCGCTCGGCGTGCATTCCACGCGCGTTCGACAGAGGCCCCGCCCCTCACACTGGCCGAGCTATGCTGCGACATCGCTGCAGTTCCGAAGATCGAGCACCTTACGTGCGATTCGCCGATGCTGTCTCGCACGTCCGCTTGACGTGCAGAAATTACGCCTTCCCGGAGACGCCCTCGCGATCCGCCCTGAAGCTGGGAACTGCCCGGACCGAGGCGGGACCGTCGTTTGGATGGGGACTCGGCCATTGTTTCTCGTTTCGCTCCACAAAGTAGGTGCGCAACTCCGCCTCGCGCGTGCTCACGGCCACCGCGTGGGCGCCCGCCTCCGCCTCGCACGCGTTCGCCTCCGCCCTGCGCGTGCTCGCCAGCGCCTCCTTGGCGCGCTCTTCCGCCTCGCGCGTGCCCACTCTGGTTCAACGAGTGCGCGAGGCCGCCGCGTCGGTGCCCGCCTCCGCCTCGCAGGCGCTCGCCGCCGCCTCGCGGGCGCTCGCAGTCTCCTCGAAGGTGCCCCCTTCAGACCTGCGCGTGCGCAGCAGCGCCTCCTGCGTGAGCGCCTCCGCCTGGTGGGCCCGCGGGTGCTCTGCTCCGCCTCGCAGGTGCTCGCCTCCGTCTCGCAGGTGATCCTCCGCCGTCTGGCAGGAGCTCGCCTCCACCTCGCTGGTGCTCACCCCTGCCTCGTCCACCCCCGCCTCCGCCGCCTCGCACGTGCTCACCTCCGTCGCGCGCATGGCCACCCCTTGCCCCGCAGGCTCCCGCTTCCGCCTCGTGCGTGCTCGCGTCCGACTCGCGGGCGCTCACCTCCGTCTCGTGGTAACCCCCACCGCCTCGTGGGTGCACACCTCCGCCTCGTAGGTGCCCTCCTCCACCTCGCACGCGCTCGCCCGAACGCCCTTCGCGCTCAGTCCCTCCTCGCAGGTGCCAGTGCCACCTCCGTCTGGTGGGCGCCTCTCAGGATGAAGATCGGCAGATCCGAGTCCAGGAAGAGGGTCGACCCATCCGGGCCCAGCATCTGGCATCCTCGGCCGGCGTTCCACTGCACGGCGCCTCGCGATGAAGGCCTCGCGCGCCCGCTTGGCCATCTCCAGGGCGTCGACTCGTGCTCCTCCAGGTTCGACGCCGTCGCGGCGGTCACCACCTTCGTCGCTCTGCTCATCCTCGTGAGCTGCTTCTGTCGTGCGCCTCCTCGAGATTGTCCTAACCCCCTTCGCCAGCTTCGTCGCGGCCGTCGTAGCTCCGATCCTCCTCATGGCTGAAGTGGTTGTGCTCCTCTTCCTCCTCGCCTTTGTCGCCCACCCACTTGCCTGGTGCCGAGTCTGCGGGAGGGGGGCCAGCCGAAGCGGGTCCGGCCCTTGCTCGCGCGGGATGTAAACGGATGTGGTTGTTGTGGCCGCAGTCGAAGCGGCCGTAGCCCAGGTGGCCGTAGACACAGTGGCCGCAGTAGCCGTTATAGGTATGGAAGCTTTTGTCCTGGGGTCCCGCGTACCTCAGGAGACCATCGTAGCTCTGGATGACGGCGTGGTCCGGGGAGCCGTCTGCGGCACTCGTGGTCGTAACTGACGTACCCGCGGTCGCAGCATAACTGGCCGTTCTCGCGGTCGTATTTGATGTCGTTGGGGTCGCCACTGCCATGATGACCTTCTGAGCCTAGCTGCTTGTCGCGCAGCCCTTGTCCTTCGAATCATGGTTGCTTGGTACGCAGCTTGTCGTAGTTCATCTCCTGAGCAGCGTCGGCGTAGCCAGATCTATTGATATAGGCGACAAGAGTAACGATCACTATGTCCTTTGGATGTGGTTGGAGCCCGTGCCCTACACAGTGCCCCATCCACTTGAGAGCCGCCGCTGTTATGCCTCGGCATGGCGTCTGCCAGTAGGTATCCATTGATGACGGGATGAGCTCGGAGCACGAATGGTTCGCGAAGCTGGGCTTGTCAATCTCGGGGTTCAGCCTGCAAGGCTGGTCGAACAGCACGGTTGATGTTCAGCCCGTACATCTTGACATTCAGCCTGTACGTCTTGGCACATCGTTTCGGGGAGGTATGGCGCCGGGGAGCGCCGCGAGGCGCGCACGGGCGGGCGCGAGGAATGGATCCCGCATATGGCCCTCCTCCCCCTCCTCCTCCTCCTCCACCTCCTCCTCCTCCTCTTCCTCCTCCTCCTCCTCCTCATTCTGGAGCCCTCTTCCTCATCCTCCTCATACTCCTTGTCCTCCTCCTCGTCCTGCCAACTCCAATTCCCTCCCCTTCTTCTCCTTCCCTGTTCTCTCCTCCTCCTCCTCCTCCTCAGTGACTTCTCCTCCTTCTCCTCCTCCACCTCCATGTTCCCTTTTCCCTCAGCCGTCGTAAACCTTCCTCTTCAACCTCGTCCACCTTCCCTCCCGTCTGTCATCTCCTCCCCCATCCGTGCTCCCTTCCATCTTGTCCTCGTGCCCTCATACCTTCTGCGTCCTCCCCCTCCCCCATCCGATATCTTCATCTCTACCATCATACTCATCATCATCATCAGCATCATCATCATCATCATCATCATCATCATCATCATCATCATCATCATCATCATCATCATAACCATAATCAGCATCCTCATCATCGTCATGACCAGCATCAGCATGCGCAGCCTCGTCCTCATCCTCAGGTTCCTCCTCTTCATCATCCTTATTCTTATGACCAGTATTGTCAGCATTGCGATTATACACCATGTTATTCCTATTTGTTGTACGCGTATGAGTATCAGTCTTACCTTTAGTACTGCTATTCGTATTCATAGTAGTAGTGTGTGGTGTGTGTGTGTTTGTGTGTGTGCTGTATTGAATGTCAACCATACGATCTATCCTTAGTTGTTAGCAGTGCCGATCTTCTTAAAACTCGTAGTACCCATAGTAGTAGTAGTCGTCGCAGCATTCGTAACAGTATTGTGGTTACTACTGCTAGTCGTATTACTACGATGTGTCTCCTCCCAATCAAGGGGCGAAGCCGCTGGCCTGCACAAACTGCTCCGAGGCTGGCCGATCCCGCAGCTTCGCGCCCAGCCCGGGGAGGACCAGCGCCAGCAGGGACAGGAACCTGTGGGAGGGGGAGGAGCAGGAGCAGGAAAGGAGGAACCACTGCAGGAGAAGCTGGAGGAGATGCCGGCCGCTCTGGCGTCTCGGACGTCTCAGGAGGGGACGGGAGAGAAGGGCAGAAGGAGAAGGAGGAAAAGAAGGAGGATAGGCAGGAGGAGCAGAAGGAGTAGCAGTAGTAGTCGCAGCAGCAGCAGCAGCAGCAGCAGCAGCAGCAGCAGCAGCAGTAGTAGTAGTAGTAGTAGTAGTAGTAGTAGTACTACTACTACTAGTAGTAGTAGTAGTAGTAGTAGCAGTCGTAGTAGTAGTAGTAGTAGTAGTAGTAGTAGTAGTAGTAAGAGTAGTAGAAATGTAATGGTAATAGTAATAGAAATAATAACAGTAGTAGTAGTAGTAGTAGTAGTAGTAGTAGTAGTAGTAGTAGTAGTCGTAGTAATAGTGAAAGTAGTAAAAGTAGTAGTAGTAGTAGTAGTAGTAGCAGTAGTACTAGTGGTAGTAGTAGTAGTAGTAGTAGTAGTAGTAGTAGTAGTAGTAGTGGTGGTAGTAGTAGTAGTAGTAGTAGTAGTAGGTAACGCCGTGCCCGTCCAGGCCGTGTAGTAGTGAACCGCTGTTCTGAAGTTGTGTCGCTGTCTTTCTCTGTCTTTGGCACTGAAGTATTTGTTTTAGATGTTTATGTGGCCGATGCTGGATCCCAGAAAATAAATTTACCTTCAGAGTTTGACACTCGGTTTTCGGTTTTAAGTTGCCCCCCGTCCATACAATCGAGCATGATGCAAGCGAACGCCGTCTCCGTCCGGGCCCGCCGTGTTCGATTCCGAAGATAATGCATTGCTTTGCATTGGGTTGCTTTGCATTATTTTGCATTGCTTGCATTTGGGTTGCTCAATAGATGTCTGCTGAGGTTGCATTGGGAGCTTACATCATGATACTGATGTTGAAGAAGGTGATGATCATGATGATGACGATGATGACGATGATGATGGTGGTGCTGGTGACGATTAGTATGATGACGATGATGCGGATGATGATGATGATGACGAAGATGACGATGATGATGCTGATGTATGACGATGATGATGATGATGTTGATTACGACGATGATGACGATGATGATGATGGTGGCGATGATGATGATGATGATGATTATGATGGTGATGATGATGCTGGTGATGCTTGTGATGATGCTGGTGATGATCACGAATCATGACGATGATGGTGATGAGGATGATGATGACGACGATGATGAGGATGATGTTGATGATGTTGGCGGCACCTCGGGGGCCCGAAAAACGCCGAACGACTTCTCTCGAGGTCTGGGGTCGTCGCCCCTGCGCTGCAGGTGCCAGCTGGGGCCGCAGTGAACGGCCTTGACGACGGTCCCCGACGATTCGATCCCCTGAAGGTCTGGAGGCGAATCCATATATATATATATATATATACACGAGCATATGTACACACACGTACATGTACATACCTATACCCATATATACATACACGTATACGCGTATGTATGTAGATATGCACATGTATATGTACATACATGGGTACATACAAACTTACACCCACATATATGTGTATATTGACCTACACACACACACACGTATATATATATATATATATAGATTCCTACAGAATTCCTTAAGATTCCCCTTAGGATTCCCTCAGGATTCCTAGCCGCTTATACACTTCAGGACCCCCTGAGGCGCGCAAGCGCGAACCTGGACGGGGTCGGCGTGCGGTCTGCGCAAGGATACTTTAGGATTCATTGGGATTCCATGAGGATTCGCTGAGGACTCGGTAAGATTCCTTAGGATTCCTTCGGATTCGCTAGGTCTCTTTAGGATTCCCTTCGGATTCGCTAGCAATCCTTCAAGATTCCCTCAGGATTCCCTCATGATTCTCAAGCGCTTATACACTTCAGGGATTCCTGAGGCGCGCAAGCGCGAACCCGGACGGGAACGGCGTGCGGTCTGCGCAAGGATTCCTTCGGATTCCATGGGGATTCGCTGGGCATTCGGTCGGATTCCTTAGGATTCGCTAGAGTTCATTAGGATTCCTTTCGGATTCGCTAGCATTCCTTCTTCCCTTAGGGTTTCCTCAGGATTCCTAGGCGCTCATGCACTTCAAGGATTCCTGAGGCGCGCAACCGCGAACCCGGACGTCAACGGCGTGCGGTCTGCGCAAGGATCCCTTAGGATTCCATTCGGATTCGCTGAGGATTCGGTAGGGTTCCTTAGGATTCCTTAGGAATTCCTTCGGATTCGCGAGGTTTCCTTAGGATTCCCTTCGGATTCGCTCGCATTTCAGGATTCCTTTCGGATTCCCTCCGGAATCCTGGCCGCTTATACACTTCAGGATGTCCTGAGACGCGCAAGCGCGAACCCGGAAGGGAACGGCGTGCGGTCTGCGCAAGGATTCCTTCGGATTCCATGAGGGTTCGCTGAGGATTCGCTGAGGATTTGGTAGGATTCCTTAGGGTTCCTTCGGATTCGCCACGTTTCCTTAGCATTCCCTTCGGATTCGCTAGCATTTCAGGATTCCCGTAGGATTCCTTCAGGATTCCTGGGCGCTTATACACTTCAGGGATTCCTGAGGCGCGCAAGCGCGAACCCAGACGGGAACGGCGTGCGGTCTGCGCAAGGATTCTTTAGGATTCCATGAGGATTCGCTGGGCATTCGGTCGAATTCCTTAGGATTCCTTAGGATTCCTTCGGATTCGCTAAGTTTCCTTAGGATTCCCTTCGGATTCGCTAGCATTCCTTAAGGATTCCCTTAGAATTCCCTCAGGATTCCTAGGCGCTCATGCACTTCAGGGATTCCTGAGGCGCGCAAGCGCGAACCCGGACGGGAACGGCGTGCGGTCTGCGCAAGGATTCCTTCGGATTCCATTCGGATTCGCTGAGGATTTGGTAGGATTCCTTAGGATTCCTTAAGGTTCCTTCGGATTCGCTACGGTTCCTTAGCATTCCCTTCGGATTCGCTAGCATTTCAGGATTCCCTTAGGATTCCCTCAGGATTCCTAAGCGCTTAAACACTTCAGGGGTTCCTGAGGCGCGCAAGCGCGAACCCGGACGGGAACGGCGTGCGGTCTGCGCGAGGATTCCTTAGGATTCCATTCGGATTCGCTGAGGATTCGGTCGGATTCCTTAGGATTCCTTCGAATTCGCTAGGTTTCCTTAGCATTCCCTACGAATTCGCTAGCATGTCAGGATTCCCTTAGGATTCCCTCAGGATTCCGAGGCGCTTATACACTTCAGGGATTCCTGAGGCGCGCAAGCGCGAACCCGGACGGGCACGGCGTGCGGTCTGCGCGAGGATTCCTTAGGATTCCATTGGTATTCGCTGAGGATTCGGTAGGATCCCTTAGGATTCCTTAGGATTCCTTCGGATTCGCTAGGTTTCCTCAGCATTCCCTTAGGATTCGCTAGCATTTCAGCATTCCCTGAGAATTCCCTCAGGATTACTAGGCGCTTCTACACTTCAGGGATTCCTGAGGCGCGCGAGCGCGAACCCGGACGGGAACGGCGTGCGGTCTGCGCAAGGATTCCTTCGGATTCCATTCGGATTCGCTGAGGATTCGATAGGATTCCTTAGGATTCCTTAGGGTTCCTTCGGATTCGCTAGGTTTTCTTAGCATTCCCTTCGGATTCGCTAGCATTTCAGGATTCCCTTGAGGATTCCCTCCGGGATCCTAGGCGCTTATGCACTTCAGGGATTCCTGAAGCGCGCAAGCGCGAACCCGGACGGGAACGGCGTGCGGTCTGCGCAAGGATTCTTTAGGATTCCATTGGGATTCGGTGAGGATTCAGTGGGATTTCTTAGGATTCCTTAGGGTTCCTTCGGATTCGCTAGGTTTCCTAAGCATCCCCTTCGGCTTCGCTAGCATTCCTTGAGGATTCCCTTAGGATTCCCTCAGGATCCCTACTCGCTTATGCACTTCAAGGATTCCTGAGGCGCGCAAGCGCGAACCCGGACGGGAACGGCGCGCGGTCTGCGCAAGGATTCCTTAGGAGTCCATTCGGATTCGCTGAGGATTCGGTCGGATTCCTTAGGATTTCTTAGGATTCCTTCGGATTCGCTAGAATTTCAGGATTCTTCTAGGATCCCCTCAGGATTCCTAGGCGCTTATACACTTCAGGGATTCCTGAGGCGCGCAAGCGCGAACCCAGACGGGAACGGCGTGCGGTCTACGCAAGGATTCCTGAGGATTCCATTGGGATTCGCTGAGGGTTCGGTAGGATTCCTTAGGATTCCTTAGGGTTCCGTCGGATTCGCTAGCATTCTTTAGGATTCCCTTCGGATTCGCTAGCATTTCAGGATTCCCTTTGGATTCCCTCAGGATTCCGAGGCGTTTATGCACTTCAGGGATTCCTGAGGCGCGCAAGCGCGAACCCGGACGGGAGCGGCGCGCTGTCTGCGCAAGGATCCCTTAGGATCTCAATAGGATTCGCTGAGGATTCGGTCGGATTCCTTAGGATTCCGTAGGATTCCTTCGGATTCGCTAGGTTTCCTTAGCATTCCCTTCGGATCCGCAAGGATTCCTTGAGGATTCCCTTAGGATTCCATTTGCTTATACACTTCAAGCGCGAGCCCGGACGGGAACGGCGTGCGGTCTGCGCAAGGATTCCTTAGGATTCCAATAGGATTCGCTGAGGATTCGGTCGGATTCCTTAGGACTCCTTAGGATTCGCTAGCAATCCTTAGCATTCCCTTCGGATTCGCTAGCATTTCAAGATTCCCTTAGGATTCCCTCCGGAATCTTAGGCGCTTATGCACTTCAGGGATTCCTGAGGCGCGCAAGCGCGAACCCGGACGGGAACGACGTGTGGTCTGCGCAAGGATTCCTTCGGATTCCATTCGGATTCGCTGAGGATTCGCCGAGGAGTCGGTGGGATTCCTTAGGATTCCTTCGGATTCGCTGGCATTCCTTAGCATTCCCTTCGGATTCGCTAGCATTTCAGGATTCCCTTTGGATCCCCTCAGAATTCCTAGGCGCTCATGCACATCAGGGAATCCTGAGGCGCGCAAGCGCGAACCCGGACGGGAACGGCGTGCGGTCTGCGCAAGGAATCCTTAGGATTCCATGAGGATTCGGTGAGGACTCGGTAGGATTCCTTAGGATTCCTTTGGATTCCTTTGGATTCGCTAGGTTTCCTTGGGATTCCCTTCGGATTCGCTTGCATTTCAGGATTCCCTTAGGATTCCCTGCGGATTCCTAGGCGCTCATGCACTTCAGGGATTCCTGAGGCGCGCAAGCGCGAACCCGGACGGGAACGGCGTGCGGTCTGCGCAAGGATTCCTTCGGATTCAATTGGGATTCGCTGAGGATTCGGTCGGATTCCTTAGGATTCCTTCGGATTCGCTAGCATTCCTTAGCATTCCCTTAGCATTCCCTTAGGATTCCCTTAGGATTCCCCCAGGATTCTTGAGGGCGGGCACGGCTTACGGCGTGGGACCCGGACGGGCACGGCGTACGGCGTGGGACCCGGACGGGCACGGCGTGGGGCACGGACGGGCACGGCGTAC